AAAACAGCAGCAAACAATAAATGACTTAAACAGCGAGGAGCAGTCTCCTTATGACCATAATGATTCATATTTTGTTCACGCTTATGAACAATAGTTTTTAGAAGTTTCATTTATATATTATACGTACTGAAAAATTGTGTATACGTATTGTAAGCGATCAACCAACGCAATCGACTTGCTACGAAATAACCGTAAATGCGAAATGTCAATTCACTCATTTACCCTTCAGTGTTTCGTTCTACTCAGATATTTTATTCGTTTTGATTTTTTCGCGGTTTTTCGTTGTGCACGTTAAACGATTATCGGATGGCCGGAACAACATCACTGTACATAATGATCGGGAAATCGCCCGTGTTGGCCCCCGTTACGACGTGCTCCGCGTGCCGTATCCAATGGACGCTCGTACGGGAACGCCGCCGTTGATAAAAGACGGCGAGAGATAACGAGAAACCGGCACGCGCGGGACGGTGTGCTAACGGATATCGCATAACGATATTGCCCCCGAGATCGGCGGACGTAGCCCGAAACGCGACGTACCGCGTCCGCGTATTTTGATATTTACGGACGGACGACGGCGATAGGCGATAACGATAATTGCGCGTCCGGTTATAACGATAACAGTGATAATTACTATTGCTATCGTGCGACGTACACACATATATACGTATGTCGTTATAAAGTACTCGCGGGCGCGTGTGCCGGCGCACGTACGGCGAGCGTTGCTGTCGCACGGTACGCGACGCGCCGCCGTTTGTTCAACAAGGGCGTAAAAACGAACGGCGAAAACGGTGGTCAGCGAACGGCGCCGGCGCAATAATGCGTAACGTCGTTGACGGTTAACTACGGCCGGTACCGTCGCCCGGCAAAATTTGGGCCGTCGCACACGTCTGGCCGCCAACTGCGACAAGGTGACGCCGCCGACGACGTTTCCGTCGTTCGCTTTCGCGGTCGCCGGCCGGGATTGAGATAAAACGGCGCGGGACGTAGCGCGTAGCGCAGTGCCGTTTGACGGCGGGTGGTACGCGACATTGCGCGCCGCGCGACGTCGCGTAAACGGCACGGAATTCCCGACGCGCGGTAACGTTTTACGATATCGTACGCAGAAACGCCCTCAGGTTTGCCGGATGCGTTTCACCGCCGTTTTCGGATTTCCCAATACACGGACACCCGCGCTAGGCGAAGACGTTTTCTCGAGTCCGAAATTCGTAAACGGATTATCATCGAGAAAAGTAGATTCTCCATACTTCGTAAGTAAGTAAGTAAGTATAATTAACATCAGAGTACCGCGGTGAAACTTGAGAAACGCTATTCCTTTTTTACATTGCTCCTCTCGCGCCTCTAATTACTTACTAGCGGACGAACCGATCAGAAAATTAACGTCTCTTGGCCAATGTTGACGCTTCCCGCCTTTCTTAATATTTTTACCCAAATTCGATGTACACATCAATAACTTGTAGTGGATATTGTATGTTTTACAATACTATGCAAAAGGCACGGGATTCTACGCAATTATATCATACGGGACCTCGTAATGAACGGGTTCGAAATAAACCCGTGCGTCCGTTCTGAGTTCGGAACGTACAGACGAAACATGAAATAAGTTATAATTTCGGTTCGATTTTGTGCACACGATTAATTTCGCGAAAGAGTTTATATTTTAAAATTGACTGTATATATATATATATTATTAACTGTTTCCGGCTATACGGGGAGTAGCCATAGGAGGGTATGAATGGTACATTTGGAGGTTAGGGCGAATCGGGCCATCGTGTCGGGCAGTAAAATGTAATAGATTTTAGGCTAACGCTAACGTCTGTAGAGGAAAGAGCAAGCGAGGTGTGTACGCATATAAATTTGGATGAGGCGAATATTCGTTTTTGCCGCGAAGCGTAAAACTTTAAGGGGCACCACTTATAGGATGTATGGAGACGATACACGTGCGCAGGTCCTCTAGACATGTGAGGTAAGTGACCTTTGAACTCAATCCTTACACGAAATCACGGGACGACATTATCATATTTTTCGTTTTTCCAAAAGTTTTTGATCTGTACGGTTAGGTAGAATAAAACGAAAACAAATACCGAAACTATATTTAAAAAGATGATCTCTGTGATAATGTGGGAAAAATAACAACACACAAAAAACTGTATATTGTTTTTTTTTTTTAAATATTATTAAATAAAATAAGAGACATAATATTAAAATTTTCATATTTACGATACCATACAAAAGTTATTAATAAAAAAAATACTTTAGCGGGAAATCTCGCGGAGATAGCATGCGAATTTGTATTTTTCTCATCTTTTTTAATAGGTACATAATTATTAAAACTTTAACGATTTCTACAATAAACTTTCTTTTTTATTGATTCGTGCTATAAAAATGGAAAAGAACGATGAAAGATCTTGAATTGTTTGCTGTTTCCGGGTGGGTAAAAACATTTTCCGGAGTCGGTCAGTCCTAATACTGGTACCGAAATACCTACTCGGGGTCTTCTAGTATTCAATCACACCGCTCCAGACGGCATTCCGACTTTACAACGCATAGTGTATACTACAAGATAAGATGCACGTTTAAATTTTACTACTTCTTGATATCGTGCTCAATAAATACAAGTTTACTTGTCTGCGACAGAATCCTCATCCCGCCACACCCAGTAACCTGTTACCAGTAAAATCAATCCTTTTAGCTATTGGTATTACGATGACGTTTATTCATTTTTTCTGTGAACAACTTTTCTGCTAAAAATTTTACTCCGATTTTCAAGCACTTTTTCTGATAGAAAATTTTACTGAGTTGGTGCGTTAAGCAGGTCATTTTTTGATTTTCCCAGGGGTTTTTATAATAAATAGAAAAAACGGGAAAATTTACGAAATATTTTAGTTTTTAAATCGTAATATTATAGCCTTTCAAAACACGTATAATCGAACTCCACTTAGAATCGTTTTTCGTTAGCCACGATTAATTGTTGCGTACAGATATGCATTAAATTCCTTTCTATATCTTACCTTCCAAACTTCTCACTTACAACAGCGACCCACCCATTGTGTGAAGTAAGTCCGTTTCTTGTTCTTTATTATGATCGGATCGAAGAGAAATTCATTAGTTTCGAAAACACTTTTTGGGGCAACAGTAAAAACGACCGACAAGGTTCAAAACAATCGACAACAGGAAATTGAACTATAATATACGTATACGAATAAACTATATATGTATAAAAAAAAGTCTAAAAAGCCGGAAAAATATATCGCTTTGATTTCGTCACATGAACCAACCGACCAATTTAAGACGTTCTATATAATATGTAGCTTTTATATTTGCTTTTCGGCAGCTTTTTCGTTATATTAAAGAATAGGATAAAAATGGTTATGTACCACTATTTTTATCCATAGTAAAGTGCAATGTTTTCGGTAAAAAACAAAAAAATGATTTTAAAAGTTTATACCTATCACGAATTTCCGAAAACGAAACCAATCGTAAATATCCACAATCCATATAATATTGACCCTAGCTAAGGTTTTTTATTTTATTTATGTTTAATGCAGTGGCCCACGCAGAGGGGGTTTGGTGGTCAACCCCCCCACTCCCCGAAATGTCTTCCTTCGCTAAATTTTTTTTAAATCGAGTTTTACATTCAACAACATATATTTTAATATCAATATATTTTACCGCGAAATAATATCAAATTTAATTTCATTATAAATCATTTATTCAGTAATAATAGTGATACTACCGCACTGAAAATATGTGCCATCCTTTATCTAGGATATTGTTAAAAACAATACCCCTCTCGAAAAACAAAACGCACTAATGGTTTCGTGTACATAATTCTAAGCTGAGCGAAGAATTTATATTAGTTTTACTATGATGTTCTGTGTGTATATTTACTTTTTTTTCTCGGTTAGTCAATATATGTTCCGATATTTTTTTTTACGTCGTGCGTTTAAAGATACGCGGTTCTTCGAATGTCACGGAATTTCTGCGGGTAACAGTACTATTTATTTCAAACATTTATCCAAATTTTCAACTATTTACCCCCTTGGTTTTTTTTTTTCTCGGAAAACATTAATTTCGATTGGTTATCATAGACATTTTTCTTGGTAAAAAATAAAAAAACTCTTCGTTGTTATTAGTACTATTATTATTATTATTATAGGTAAGTACTAACACGGTTGAAATATACAAAGCCATTGCCCATATACCCGTTCTCGATCAAACATTTGACGATAAAAACGAAAATGGCAGCGTAAACGGAACTAATAATAATCTAGTGGATTTACTGTATTTTTCATGTACGGCAATTTATTTTCGTGACATCCCAATACTCAGCAATTATGTACCTGATGAGTCTATGTGCAATTTCAACCGTGGATACTAGTATTATATTTCGTATAATATTCTAATTTTGGATTACATAGTTTGTATCGACAGAGTTCGCTCAGAAAAAAAAAAAAAAAAACAGGGACTGCAGTCTAGCACGCTTCTAAAGTTTATGAACACTCGCCGAAATGTTTTTAATGTGTTATTGTTGTACAGTTGTACACGATTGTCCATTTCGCTGAATAATATTATTACCAGGATGCGGGATTTACTATTGTTTTTTAAGTGCTTTTTTTTTGTGAATTCTAATTACCATTAAGTCCCGAACCCTGATTGTTACTATAGATTGAATTTTTAGGTAATATGCATTTGATGTGCTTCAACAGATTATCATACAGGTCATGATAATCACCCAAACCGTTCACGGGAATAAGTTCATATGATCTCTAGAAAATTCCTTCGCCACGCCACTAGTGCTTTATTTTAAAAAAAATTTCTCGATTTCCAATTTAGTTTAAAAAAATTAACAACAAATTGCGATACACCGTTTTAGTGTCTTTCGATTCCCGGATTACCTTGGCAACGGCGCAAAAACACGACCAATACTACTAATACTACTACATTCCGCTCAGAATGGTTTTTCCGTTAACAAAGACTTATTGCTGCATATTTTTTTTAAACTAGATATTACCCTATAAATATCTCCCTAACTATACACAAACAACAGCGGCCTAACCGTGTGCACAGTATCAATCGTTTTTAAATCGGATTTTCATTCTACACCTATATTTATTTTATTGTGCATTATTTATAACAATGTACAGGTACGTAATAAGTATGCAGTTTCCGCGCATCGCGGAATCCCGTATAAATAATTTCACGAGGATCTCATAAAACAAAATATGCGATTTTTTTATTTTATAAAAAACTTTATTTTCCAAACTACACTCTACAAAAAAAAAAAAAAAAATTTAATATCATTATTATAATAATTTTTATTTTTATAATAGTACCTATAAGTAACCGTAAACCTATATGTCTATCTAAACCTACTATTAAAAAAAAAAAAAAAAAAAAAAAAAAAAAAATGATCTCTGTAATAGTCGTATACGTTTTAAACAATGATTTACGATATAATAACGTGTTGAAAATATCTGAATAATACCCACAACAAAGTGGGTATGAAATCAATTATAATCATATCGTAATATCGATCGAAAAAAAGTCGAAACAGGATCCGGAATCGGTTAAAAAAAAAAAAAAAAAAAATCACTACCCATACTAAACCTACACCGAACCGATTTAGATTTAATCGACATTAATGTATAGGCATAGAGGTTCCGTCGATAATAACGATGTTTATTATTTTTTTCTTTTTTCGGGAATACACCAGATACCTGTTGTGGATATCGTTCGCGAGCATTCCACAAACGGTATAATATTAGGCCGAAGACTTACCACCTGTTTCGTTATAATACGGTGCAATTAAAACGCGTTTTCGAATTGTTCAAAACGGTTTTCAAAAAAAAAAACAAGGTTAAGTGTTTATAACGTGCATGTAACGATTTTGCGTTTGGCTACGTATAGGGTATGCGTTGTTGAAAACGTTTTAACGAAATAATTTACTGCCGTTGTCGTAATGTCTATTTCCGGGTAAATACGTTAATTTAATAAAGTCAATTTCACAAAATAAAAAAAAAAAAAAAACTGATGTACTTCGCACGATGGACGGGCCACTGTTGCAGGTGAGAAGTCGGAAAGGCGGGATATAGAAAAGGAATTCAATGTATATATGTACGCAACGATTAATCGTCGCTAACGAAAAACGATTGTGAGCGGAGTTCGGTTATAAATGTTTTGAAAAGCCACAATGTGTACGATATTTTCGTCGAAATTTGATATCGAAATTCTTATAAAACAGTTATTCTACATCACACTAATTTTTTTTTTTTTTATTTATTTGGCCACAAAGTACGATTTATAATGAACCTCTTGTCGTCATTTCGGTTTGGTCTAACCATTTTATCCTCAGTCGCTATAACGAATAAAAATTACGTTTAAATCTCGCAAAATTAAAATGTCTACAAATAGGTAAAAAATGTTTAACGTGTCTTGAACGTTTTACCGCGTGTATAAAAGGCATGTATAACGGTTTTTTCCGAATTCAAAGTCTTTGCGAACATTTCAAACCGAATCAATATAAAAAAAACAAAATTAAAAATAATAAATTTCCCCGTTTTTTTCCAATTGATATGAGAACCGCTTGGAGAATCAACAAAAAAAATGACTCCTTTTGAAGAACAATTTTCTTTCGGAAAAGATGCTCTACTTGAAAATACAGACGAAAAAAAAAAATAATAATAACAAACGCTATGGTAAAGCCAATTCATATTCGCCGCTTCGCTCAGAATCGAAAAGGTCCTAGTTATAATGTTCATGACGTTTATTCCGATGAAATTTTTATGCGGCTTTATCGTGCCGGCTAATTATTTCGTTCGGTCGTTGCAGTCACACTCGCGCTGCAGCCATACACGACGATATTGTTATATCACATTTGTGACGAACATCGCAATTAAGTTTCCATTATTCATTCAGTAAGCAGTTAGTTGTTACGCAAACCGAACGAAACGGCGGAAAATCTGTTAAAAGTTTAAAACAATATCGTGATTACATACAAATTGCACCTTCGGTCAAAAAAAGGAGGTTTCGATAAAAATGTTATATATAAAAAAAAAAAAAAAAACTTAATTTAAAGTTTAACACTAACACACTTTAACCATTGCCGTGATTGAAAATGATATATTTTTTTTTTATGTAATAATCTGTGGGTATATGAGTTTATATTTTTTTTTTTTTTTTTTTTTAAATACGGTTTTTGAACTTGTCAAATTATAATTATTATTTAATGAAATTATTTTTCGTGGAAATCTATAACGGAAACGGACAACAACTTCATATATTATATTTAATTTAATTTAAAATTTTTTTTACGATTCAAGTTCAATTTAACGATTTTTATGTTGAACAAATTCCCGAACGCCGCGCTCGGAAAGGGAACCGAACGTTTTCGTAAAACTTTTTAGTTAGGTTTTTTTTTTTCGATTACTGTAGGCGATCGTGTAGCGAAAATCGTAATCGGGATCGTAACTGTCACGAACTATCATTAACTATATTTTAGTGATACGGTCCTGTCTATATAGCGCACACGCCGCGACTATAACACACTGTATGTTTACAAAAACAACAGTCGTATATGTAAAAATCGTATTACCGCTGACTGTGTTAAAAAACAATTTCGATAACCAATAATCTCGCGTATTATCGTGATAACAAAAAAAAAAAATCGACACTGACGTTGTATTATTTCATAATAGTAATAAATAACGTACAGGAAATGTTTTCTATCGTCTAATATTATTCAACACGCTTACATTGAAAACACGCGTACCGCTAATAGCCGTATGGTCGGTCAGAAATATGATTACCATAGCGTCTAATAACTTATTCGTATATTCACGGGTATGATTAAGTACCAGCGCTGTCGAGACGTGTAATGTATAATTTCTGAATTTATTTTTTTATTTTATTTTTTTTTTTTTTTTATTAGACTGTGCGTAGCGAAGAATGCGTCGGTCTTACTGCGATGTGTGTTTTGTTTTCTCCGCGCGTTTATTATACCTTTATTCAATATTGTCTGTAATCTTGCTCCCAATCGAAAAATGGCGCGATAATTTTTTTCTTTAATGTTTTTTTTTCGACTTTTCGACGGATTCGGAGAAATAAGGATTTGATTTTTTTCCAAGCGGAACGTCACTGTTGTATGATGATCGGTTTTCACGCATGGTCGCGAAATATGAACGGCGACCAAACGGACGGGAACTTTCGAGAACAAAGTATGGATAGGAGTAATTGCGTGGACCTATTATTGATGAAACGACGAGGAGCTTGCGAAGGACATGCGACAGAGTGTGTTGGGTTGTTATTTTAGGGGGCGAAAGGATAAAATGGCCAGGGCAGACAGTATACAACGGTACAACTAGAATAGCATTGGAATGGAAACCACACGGAAAAGACCTACGGGAAAATATGGTTGGGTGTGTAGAACGAAGAAGACCTAAAAACCCTACCAGAGGTACAGGCCGTAGGAGTGAGGCAGTTCAAGAGAAATATCAGTAGAAGGAGAAAAAGACGTTTTCGTAATAATTGTATTAAAAAAAAAAAAAAAAAAACCGGAAAAAAATCGTAGGAAAATCGATAAAGTGTATGGCACATTAACGGTTTTATTTTTTTCGATTTTTTTTTTGTTCTAAATCTGTTAAAAACTATTGTGAAGCGCTTCGGTCAGAGTAAGAAGAAAAAAAACGCGATTTTAAACACTCGTTTTTAAAATTTTAAATAGTAAAAGTAACACTATCATCATACAATATTCACCGGTCCGCGGACCGTCGCCGACCACGCGCCGCCGCGAACGCAAAAATCACGTCCGATTGTTTCGCTGCTGCGGCCGTCATTATTACTCTTATTAATTCGTAAAAACTTCAATTAAAACAGTCGCGGTGTCCTCCTGCGGGCACGCTATTTCGGTGTGTTAAACGCGTCTCCGGCGTACCGGGTCAACGGATTGATTCGCGCCGTATTTCGTATAGGTTTTTCGATTTATATGAACAATTCGTTTTAAATAACCTAGCCGCCACCGGTGTATAAACGCTGTATAATATGTTATGAAATTGATGTATGGAACAGTTTTTCGTGTCGTATCCGATAAATTACACCGCGGCGATAAAACTCTCGAATCGAACGTCGCGTGACGCGCGTGTAGGCAGTCGAAATTTGAAGATTATTTGTATATATAAAAAAAAAAAAACTCGAATATTTTTTTACTTTCTTAAATAACAAACAATTGTTTATTGTATTTTTGTTTTCATTCGATGCAAATCGAATAACATATTAGGTAGGCATATTATAATACATCGAGTACGAGTAAAATATCGAACAAAAAGTTACTGCGTGACTATTTTATAGGAATGAAAAAAAAATAAATCATAATAAAATAAAAAAAGGCCGTGTATATCCAAATTTAATTTGTATAGCCGGAGAAAAAAAAACTTTTCGCGCTCATAGTTCGAATATCGTAAAATAAAATGTCTGCAAAAGTAAGTGAAAAAAAAAAAAAGAAAATAGTACAAATAGAATAAGAGAGCTGACTGTTGGCAATGCACGGTTTACTATAACGTCTACAACCCAAACTCTGCACTCGAATGCGATTAAATCGGTGGAGATAATTATTTATATTATGAATCGGCTGTAAACCTCTCGTCGCTATAAATTACCTAATATTCGAAAAATGATTTCGTATGTAAACGGAGAAACGGAGAGCTTGGTTTCAAGTATTTGTCTTTTTTGTTTAAAATGTCCGTCTTCGGCAACATAAGTATTTTGTTTTCGGAATTTATATCGAACTGACAGTTATTATAATTTACAGAGCGAACCGTTTAAGTGAATTTACATTCGGTACTATCAAAAATATTGACTAGTTTCATCATTTTTTTTTTTTGTTTTTGAAAATGCAAAAAACAAACGGCTACAAAATGTAACTCAATATTATTTTGTTCTAAAGGGGTTTTTTTTCATTTGATTTTCAAATAGCAACCGATATTATAAATTCTATAAATAAAAACAGACTGTTTAATCAAATTTTATTGTTAACATTTTGTGCTCGGGTAGGAGGATAGTAGTGAAACATTATTCAAACGTCGACGGGCGCCGTGTCACCACACAAATTATGTTCAACTGCTACCCTTTACCCACAATTAAAAGTGGAACATCTCGTCATCGGAAATCAAAAATGTCAATACCAACATGTAACTAAACCGATGGTTCTCAACTGGGATAACATGTCACTCCAG